CCTTCTCATTGGGGGCAATGCAGTTGGGTGCGCTGTGCCCAGGGCCTGGCTTGCCCCCCAGGTGCCAGGTGGCCGTGGGGGGCTGAGAGCCAGCTCTGGCCTAGCCCCATGGGTGCGCTGTGGGGAGGGAGGGGCTGGAGCCCGTGATGGGGGGGCTGGCAGGGATGGGGCCACAGGACTCTGGGAGTTGGGGTGTGGAGAGGGGGGTGCAGGCCCAGGGCAGGCTGGTGGCACAGGGTGGGGGGTCAGCGGTGCTGGGCGCTGTGCAGCAGCAGCGGGTGGTAGAGAGGGCAGGGGTAGGAGAACATGAACTTGACGGCGAACTTGACCTCAGGGTCGCGCTTCTGCCAGCGGTAGATGGCGAGCAGCAGCAGGCGCCCGCCAGCCTTGCGGCCCAGCACCAGGAAGCTGCCGCCCAGGTGGTCGAGCTGGGGGCAGGGGCAGGCGCCCGCGTTGCGCATGTGCAGCACCATGCGCCGCGTGTCCTTGCGCTGCAGCGGGCCCAGCTTCAGCACTTTCTTCTTCGGCGCCGCCACCAGCCGCCGCTCCGTGCCCTCCTGCACCACCTCCTTGATGCGCAGCTTCACCACTGCTGGGACAGGGGGCCGTGACCTGGGGCACCCGGCTGTAACCCCCTGCCAGCCTGCGTGCCCCCCCAGGGGTGCAGCCCACACTCTGCCCCGCTGCTTGGGGTAAGATGCGCAGGCTGTGCTGATCCGGGGTGGGACCATGGAGGCCCTGGGGCAGCTCTCAGCCCTGGAGCCCACCAGGAGGGTCTAGAAGGAGATGCCCCGGGTCTGTGAGGCAAGGACCAGCCCCCCGCCCCCGCGGCCAGCGGCACTCACCAAAGTCACTGGAGCACATCTGCTCCATCATGCCATCCGCCTTGTGCTCCACCTCGCACTGCGGGCACAGCCGGGGCACTGTAGCAGAGACATGCACGTGTCGGGGCGCCGGTGTCTGCTGCCCCCCTGCCAGCACCCGCCTTCAACAGGGGAGGGCAGCTAGGCCTCGGGGGTCAAGCCCAGCTCCCGCTGCCTCAGGCAGCCCCAGGTCCCTCCCCTGCCCCCTGTGCAGCTCCTTGCACCTGCACTGCCCGCTCCCTGCCCCCCTACAGTGCCCTGGGGCTGGGGGCAGCAAGGCAAGGGCCCCAAGCTGCCCTGTTACCTGGCAGGGGTGCCCCGGCTCTGCCCCTGCTCCCTTACCTGGGGGTGCGGTGACCTGGCCGTGGCCGAACTGCACGGCGATGCAGAGGCCGTGGTCGGGGGGGAACTGGGCGCAGTGCAGCATGTCGGGCCAGGGGAAGCCGTAGGACTCCATGACGGGGGCGCAGGCGTCACGCACGACCTCGCAGAGTGAGCGGCAGGGGTAGATGGGCCGCTCCAGGCAGACGGGCGCGAAGAGGGCGCAGAGGAAGAGCTGTGTGTCCGAGTGGCAGCGCTTGGCTAGCAGCGGCACCCAGCTGCCCGCCTGCTGCTTCACCTCGGCCAGCGAGTCGTGCTCCAGCAGGTTGGGCAGCCGCATGCGCGTGTAGCCCACGTCGTGGCACAGCTGCAGGTCGCCCGGGATGTCCACGCACTGCGGCGCCTTGGCCGAGAACCGCCCGTAGGCCTCATAGCCGGGCCCCGCGCCCACCGCCCCGCTCACCACCAGTGCCAGGGCCAGCAGCCCCGGGCCGCCCCCCATGGCCGCCCCCAGAGCCCGTGCGTCCATGCGGCCCGAGGGAGGGAGCCGGCGTGCTGGGCGCTGGGCTGGCGCAGCAGGGAGTGGAGGCGCAGCTGCCAGGAGCTGCCTGCTCCGGCCCCTTGCACCTCCCACCTCCCCCTCCCGCTGGCCCGGCCTAGCCAGGCACCCTGCCCAGCTCCTTGTCCTGGGCTTCCCCTGCTCCCGGGGCCCCGGGCCTGGCCCGCCGCGGGGCTGGCCCAGGAGAGCCCTACTGCCTCCCAGCACCCGTCCAGCCCCTCGTGCTCTCTGTGGCATGGGCAGTGAGAGCCCTGGGGACCGGGCCCTTGACCAGAAGCTGGGCCCGGGCTGGTCTCATTTGCACGTTCGTTACCCCCCAGCCGTAGGGAGAGTGCGGGTCACCCCATGCTGGGCTGCAGCCTCGCCGGCTGTGAGTGCAGAGTGGGACGGTTTGGTGTCGGGTCTGGCTGGGTGCTGGCATGAAGGAGCCAGGGGTGTGCGAGGCAGGCCTGGCCCCACGGCCCCCCTGCAGAAGGCATGACTGCTTGTGCACACATGACAGTGGACGCATGTTCATGGGTGTGCATGAGAGCAACTTGGAGCATGCTTCCCTGGCTGAGTCTGGGGTGCAGAGACCTCGGGGGGGAGGGCCACCTCCACTCGGACTGTGTGTGGCTCTGGGGCTCGGCGGCGGCTGTGCGTGTGGCCCCGGCTGGGTGGCAGCAAGGGCAGGAGCAGTGCCACGGTCACCAGCCGCCGCACTGGGGCCTCCGCAGGGGTGCTGAGTCCCAGGGACTGGTGCTCGCTGGGGTCTCCGGGGCCCTGCCGGCTCCGACCTGGGCCCACAGCCGGCCCTCGGGGCGGGGGACCAGCCTGACCCAGACCAGGAGCTGTGAGCTGCCCCCGGCTGCCTGCGCCCACCCTGCAGCTGCCTGTGCTCCTGCCAGCTGGCCCCGTGCCCCGTCTGTCTGTCACGATGCCTTCATTAGAGCAGGGGAGCTGCTTGGCAGGGCTCTCCACCGCTGCGGCAGGGCTGGGCAGCCCCGTGCCCTTGGGGCCAGGCCAGTGGCGTATGGGGGCTGCCTCCTCCCGGGACGGGGTGGGGGTCCTGAGCCCCATGCAGGGCAGCAGCTGGGGGGAAGCGGTGTCTGCGGCGGCCCGGCCCCACCTGTGCCTGTCCGTCCTGCCGGGTGACGCTCGGCCCCGCACGGCTCCCTGGGAGAGTGGAGCCGGACAGCGGGAGCAGGGGCCGGTGCCGATGGGGGCGGTCGGCTCCACGGGGGGCAGCGCGGTGCCCTCACCCGGGGGCTGCCGGGGCAGGCAGGTAGGGCCCCCGGGTGCCACGGGCAAGGCAGGGGTGGCGTGGTCTGGGGCAGCCGTGTGGAGGCCGGGGCAGTTTTGGGGCCAGCACAGGCCTGGGGGCAGCCTCTGTCCTGGTGCCTCTGGCCCTGCCAGTCTCTGCTTCCAGCCACCCACGCCGTGGGCCCAGCCCTGGCCCTGGCCCTGGCCCTGGCCCTGGCCCCGGCAGTGACCGATGCCCCAATGCCGTGCTGTCTCAGCCCTGGCTGGCTCGACCTAGACTCGTGGGGGGAGGATGCTGGGGGTGCTGGGCCCTGGTATGTGGGGCGCTTGGGGCCAGGCTGTTTTCACCAGGCTCCCGTGGGCTGCAGTCGTGGCCCCACAAGTGGGACTTGGGCATCTGGCTGGCCATGCTGGGCCCTGGGGTCAAGCCCTGTCTCAGGTGGCCGGCAGGGCTGTGCATATCCGGCCCCCCCAGGCTCCCCCATGTCCCCTCCCTCAGGGATGTGGAGCCTGGCCCTGTGCTGCTGCTGGGGGCCGCAAGGCAGGGCCAGACGCCGGCCCTTGGTGCGCGGAGGCTCTGGCTTGCGATCCTTGGGGCTCCAGCCGGCCCCCCCCACCCCCCACTGAGGCTGCCTGCCTGGGCTCTGGCTCCAGCCCTTGAGAGGGGCCGTGCCTGGGTCCTAGGGACGAGCCCTGGGGCCACGGGGCTGCCTTGGCCCTGGGTACGTGCCCGCAGCCCCTGCACGGCACCGCGGCGGGGCCTGGGGCAGGCTGGTGCCTCCTCGCCTCCAGCAGCTCCCGCAGGC